ACACACAGCCTCTTCCCAATATGCGTTTTTGCAATTTGCATATATGCAAAAACGCATAATATATGACTACAATCATAATACGGTTAACGACCTGGCGCAGTGGCAGTGGCTCAGCGGCAGAATGCCCTGTACCCCGCTGGATTCCGAGTTCGATTTCCGATAGGCAGAATTCGAATCCGGAGCGTCAGCGCGGTAGGACGGCGTTTTGCTACAGCGCTTCTGATGCAGTGTGGACCAGTGGCAGCAACTGAACCCGAAGACTGGCATAGTAGACGGACATTTTGCCGCTCACGACATTGCCAGAATTTGATTTCGGGACATCAGAGCTGTAGACATCAGTATTGAACCACCAATAAGAAATTTTCTATCAAAATTTACACTGGTCACTACGACTGGACACTACGTTACAACCAAATCTATTGAAATTAAAATTTTTTTTTTCGAAATCACAAGGAATAAAATGAAGCTGCAGTTCGAATTAAGAGTGCTTTTGCAGATTATTGATGAAACGGTACAGATACGGAAGTGCAGGTTTGGCCGAATGGCGTGAGGTAATTGCGGAAGCGGCAAGCGAACCACTGGCTGGTCAGCTTTTGACTAATTAGATTTTTGATGTGTATGGAAAAGATTTTTGGAAAGTTGCAAAAAACTGTGGAAGCTCACTTCAGCTCATTTAATACTTAACTTTATGCAGTTCATAGCCTGGTTTTTCAACTCTACATCAAGTAATTTTTCAAACTTTTAGTAATTATGAACAAAAAGCTCTTAAAATTGGAAAAGACTTTAAAAATCAGTTTGTTCAATTTGTTGCCTATTCTGACTTCGACATACACTCTAAAATTTGGGTTATTAAACCAGTTTGCTTGACAGGAGTCACAAAAGAAAGTAAAGTTCAGTAGACACCACCGCTCGTTTTGATAATATATCGAAGGAAGTTTTCTACAGTAAAACAACTGGCCCCTCGTCCTTCTCCCTCCCCCTTTCCTCCTCCTTTGGGTCTGCCAATTTTGGACGTTACGCATTAGTGAATGGTACTCGAGAAAAGTCGACCACTGGGGTGGTCGCCTAAAAAAGTGAAATGTGTGCATGGCACAGACATAACTAAAAATATGCATCTCGAAACTAAAAGACCTAGTATAGCTCGTGCGTGAAATGCGAGTGCTTAGCACCAACATCGAATTCTTACATATCAGTACTCGGAGCCATTCTGGGATTTCTATTCATTGTTATTAACACAAGTGCATTCCGCTTAATTTTCAGGTGAATTCTTCGAGGAATATTTTACGCAGCCAGGCCTGCCACTTGTTCGAGCCTCCATTACTCCAGGGCAATTAACACTCAAGCAGAGTATCACGATTGAGAAGCGAGAAACGGATGCAAGTTTTTTTTTTTTTGAAGAGATTCTGAAGGTCTAGATACTGACAGGAGGTGTGTGACTCAGGATCGAAGGACCTGGGATAGTTGTGATTGGCATGTGGGAGCGTATTGATAATATCACTAAGAAAGTGCACGCCGATTTCCTCAGCTGTCTTGGCAAACCTGGTGTTTTTTTTTTGGTCATGTTTTTGGACTCGGTTATTTGATGAAGCTATTTTAATCATTCACTGAGTATCCCAGTTTTTCTGCGTAGAATGAGTGGGTATCATGCTAGCCTTTTTTCGTAGTAGATGATTTTCCGGAGAAATAAAAAAACCTGTTTTCTTTTTCAGATGCCACCAACAGTTATTCCATTGGACGTAGGAATTGATGGTCAACCAAGTCGAACAACACTAATCTTGATCAACCAAACTCAAACATTTCCAGTGGTTCACAACGATCGTCTGGTTGTGTTGGATCCGGATGTACGTACTCATACAGTGATTGTCTATGAGGTTAGCTCAGTTTACGTTGTTTTTTTTTTAATTACATTAATGTTAGCGTAAGTAATTTTATGAACATGATATAATTATAAATGATCGTGCGAGTGATCTTCAAAAAGTTGATGCACATACATCGAACGTCAGTTTGAAATTTCACGTGTACGTGAAAGCTACACCCAAATGTGCGTAAAGGCAGACTTTAAATTCCTTAAACAAAACATAGCAAGGGACGTTCCAATAAAGCTTCAGTCTTTTATCCTCTCGTACGGAAGGCCTGGCATAGCATTCGCTCTGTACAAAAAATGGAGGTATTCAGTACTTGATTAGGATGGTAGCAAACGCCAGCAGCAAGTGAACACAACTGGCAAGACTGTCGATGACTTATTCTTTCAAAAATTGCTTACAAGCAAATTTGTGGTGCTTTTGATCCAACCCCCCGCCCCCCCCCCCCCCTCCCATTCTTTGCCAGTACTTCTC